TTATGTACCTCTATTACTCTTTTATTTTGTCTCAAAACTGTTCAATCAGTTCTGCCCCACCCTGTATAAGCTAGCTAACACATTTAAATTGTATATTGTAATCTATATATAACAAATAGTCAAATAGCTAAAGACTACTTATAGCTTTATAAGAATTAGCTAAGCTGCTAGCTACGTACAATGTATTGCACTCTTGATGCCTCTGTACCAAAATTATTAAATTTATTGGAACCTAATACACACTAAAGGCAACAAGTTTATATACCAATTTGTCATTCATAGTACATTTATACTAAACCATGAATAACAATACCTCAATATAAATTTAAGACTGCCACTCAATATATTTAAATATATGAAAAAATAAAAAAAAATCGTGATTTTTTTATAAAAAAAAATCAAGTGATTTAATCACATGATTTAATCATTGCCAACCCTGTAGTGAATTGGATAAATTGAAGGTTGTACAGAATAGAATAGCTAGACTGGCTCTTGGAGCCCCTAGATGGATACTGCAATGGAGGCTTTGAGGAGATATGGGATGAAGTATGTTTAGAAAGAGAAGAATGAAATCAGCATTGAAATATAAAGTACAGCTGGAACAAATGAATGATGCACATTGGGCACATAAGATGTATACCTGTGGAACTTGAGAGTGAGCAAATGGAAAAGTAAGTGTCATGCAATCTTACAAAAGTGCAAGTTACATGAAACATGGGCTTGCCCTGGGAATAAGAGACCAAGAGAGAAATGGATGATAACAGTTCAGGGTGCAACAAGGATTGAATGGGATGTCAAAGAATGGAGGAAAGAAAGAGAAAAGAGAGTAAAATTGTGTGGTTTAAGAGTTTGGAAGCAATGAAGGGAAAGAAAGGGCAGCCTGAGATTGTACAAGATGAAAGAGATGCCAACTTGCCAAGGTATGAGTACCGTCAACTGGGGCTACTCGGGACGGTTTTGAGCGATTTTTGTTAATAACTTCTTACCATGAAACATTTCATAACAAGTTTAGGCTCATTTTATAGCTTTTTGCGAGAGCTATCGAATGGCATCTTCAAAAAATTCCATATGCTATTCGTAAGGTGCCAGAAGCAAAAAAAGAGTGTCCTGAGTAGCCCCGTTGAATGGGGCTACTCGGGACACTGTTGCAGGGGGAGCTATATTGCTTTTTAGCCCAACCCTTTGGCTTTCATGCTCGTTTATTTAATGTCTGTGCTGTGTTTTTCTCATTATGTAATTTACAGTTTCCCTCTGTTTTTTTTTTTAAGCCAGCCGCTGCAAGCGCGGGAAAACTTACTCCAATGATGAAAACTGTAAAGCCTAATTGTGAAAGTTATTTGTACGTTCGTTTAATCATAAAAGCTTGATAATTTAAAGTCATGCATTTTTTCAGGAATATTTCAGTTATTAAGAACTTTTTTCAACTATTACATTTAAACTTGCATGAAAATTTGACGCTTTTCCTTTTGTTCCTGTCATGACGTCATCCGCCAAGCGGCTGTGGCTGAGCGAAAATTTCAGATAGCTGTTACGAAAGCGGCGAACGAACATTTCGTACTAATTTGTTTAGCTACATTGAGCTATCTAGCTACTTGAGCTAACTGCACCTAACGCACGGAATTGTTTCAGTGTACATGAAACATGGGCTTGCACTGGGAATAAGAGACCAAGAGAAGAATGGATGATAACAGTTCAGGGTGCAACAGGGATTGAATGGGATGTCAACAAATGGAAGAAAGAGAGTGAAATTGTGTGGCTTAAGACTTTGGAAGCAATGAAGGGAAAGAAAGGTTAGCCTGAGATTGTACAAGATGAAAGCAATGCCAAGGTCTGAGTATATACGTGATGTAAGTCTGAAGTAGATGTGGAGACATGAAGTTCTTTGTGAGAGCAAATGTGTTGAGTGTGAATGCATGGTCATACAGGTGGAATAATGGGAAAGAGGATATTTGTTTCATGTGTGACAGATGTGAGAGGGAAACTGGAGCATCTGATGATGGAGTGTGATGCATGGGTGGGAAAGACTGGAAATGATGTGATTGATACTGGATGAAAGGAATGAGGGTGATGGTGTGATGTATGAGCGAACAGGAGACAAATGGATTGCAATGAATGTGGGCCTGTCAATGGGGGTGACTGCTGCTATGACTGAGAGTGGAAAGTGATTTTCGGAGAGTGCATGGAGGGTGAGGGAGAGGAGGAGGTTGGCAAGTGTTGAGATTGGGGGGATGTAAAAAAGCAATAATAAAATTGGAATAACCAAACCATAAAAATATAATATAACATAAATAGTCATTCAGGGTCTAAGAGGCCCTATAGCTAATATAAATATCAACTATACACTGCAATAATTGACAAATAGCAATAATAAACCAATGAATTGCCTCTCAAATCTCTTTTCCCTTGATTTCCATCTCACCCTTAACACAAACTTTCATGCCTCTCTAGCCTCTCCTCTTAATATCACTTGCACCTGGCTTGGTCTCCCCTTTTCCTACCTGCTAACGAATGAATCTGTGATGCGTTGCTGATGGCCGTTGCAACGGCCTGACCCTGAAATGTCGTATTTCTCAGTCACCATGCCCCATGGTGGCAATCTAGGATTTGGGCAAACCTCTATTTAGACTCGTTCACTTTTCATCACTTCACTCGTTCACTTTTCATCATTTGAAATACCACTTCTGTAGTCATGAATCTGTTAGTACGTGAATTCGAACGACGAATGGAATAGTTCATTATTAAAAGTTAATTATCAAATGAGTCACTAAACGACTACAAATTCTTGACCTAGGTCCTAGTCTATATAGAATTACTCCGAAATGTATGCCAGTGCGTGGTAAGCATTTAGACGAGCTTCTTCTTCTTCTTTTCGGGGTGTCTACACTGGGTAGACTTAAAGCCACAGGTCGACCTCGAGGACGGCCGTTGGGCCTGAGAGCCTGTATTGTGTTTAAATTCTTCTAAGTAGGTAACCACTGAATTCCTGTTTATAGTAGGTCAGTGGATACAGTGGCTCAGGATGCAAACTGTGGAAAACAGGGCAAACATGGCACAAGAAAACATCCACAAGCAAGAGCCGTAATTCCAGGGTTGAATTGCAGTCTTAACAAAGAAATGAAAGATTGTGAAGCTTTCAAGCCTCTGCCATCAACATCTGCATGGTTTAAACATGGTGGCATTCCAAATGCCTGCTAAATTTTTTTTCCACCAGTCTGCAAATTTACTGCTACGCTCCGGAACGCAGTGTCCGAGTGGCGCTGAATTTTTTTGCACACCAGCAGACAATTCTGGGTCAAACTATTGCAATTTGCAGCTGCTTTCCTGTGGGCTGATTGCAAATGGTCTATTTCAATAGACATGATCTGTCTGGTGGCTTGTGGCTGATAATGTTAAAGTCAAGAAGTGTTCTAGGCTCTGCTATGGTCTTGAGGGAAGAGATCATGGAAGTCCTTTTGAAACATGGCAGTGGTGGTGTCTGACAGGCATCCCACCACGGACAGTGGAAGAGGGACTGGTGAAGAAATGTGCTTTCCATATCTGTCTGTAGTACCGCATTAAATGAATTAAATCCCAGTATTTGCAGAGTGGTACCGTAAAAGAGGTTACTTTGACTATTTTTTATCAAATGATGCCATTATTTTACTAGCTAAATTGAACTTAAATTGAAACATACAAAATACAGGTCTATACTTTAGGTTCACGCACCATAAATTGCTGGCTCCTGCCTCTCATAGTTATTGATGTAATTTTAAAAAAAGTGATGGTCTTTGTTACCCCCACTTTGGGGTATCTTTGACTGGGTGGTAAAATCAATAATATTTTTTGGTAAAATAACTCCAGGTTTTGGTGCATTGTAGTAGAACTCTTCTAGTTACATATGCAAATGACAAATTTGAGGGAAGTGTCATAGTTTGCAAATGGATTGCAATGGGGAACTGTGACCACCTAATGTCAGCTGTGATGGGGTAATATTGACCGGCCTGGAAACTAAGTTAAAATTACCATATACAGGGTGAACCAGAATTAACTACTGACCCTTTTAATTTGTTAATAAATAAAAAACTAAGAACGTTATGAAGTTGAAACTTGTTTTATTTAAAAGAACATTTTTATGGTAATATTGTATCCTAGTTAAAATATTGTATCCTATTACAATATTTTATTATTGTATTAGTTAAAATATTTATTATGTGTTAATAATATGTATTAGTTAAAATATTGTATGTAATATTGTATCCTAGTTAGTTATTGTATCCCAAAAACTAGGATACAATATTACCATAAAAATGTTCTTCTTTTAAATAAAACAAGTTTCAACTTCATAACGTTCTTAGTTTTTTATTTATTAACAAATTAAAAGGGTCAGTTAATTCTGGTTCACCCTGTAAAGACTCTGTAGAGTCTGAAACATAAAGAAAAAACATTATTAGGTGTATCAAACATAAAATATGTTATATATGGTACCTTAACCCTTAATAAAAATATATTTTATTATTTATTGACTTTTAAAATTATATATACCATATAACTTCAAATAAGCAGAGCAATGGCCTCTAATGGAGAGGAAGAGACTGGAATGTCAAATGGTGAGTGTTATTGCTTATTGCATGGGTTACTGTACTGTTCTTTAGTCTGTATTGCATGGGTTACTGTACTGTTCTTTAGTCTGTATTGCATGGGTTACTACTGTTCTTTAGTCTGTATTGCATGGGTTACTACTGTTCTTTAGCCATAATAATTCTCTGATTCAAGTCACTGATGTGTGCTGTACTGAATTTTAGTTAATTTCATTACTTCATTTTAAGTCATTATGAAATGAAATTATTCTTTGTTGAAACATTCCTGGTATAAATTTTATAGCATTTACAGAATTCTAGTTTCTAGAGCATAGAAAGAATAAGGCCAAATTAATATTTTTTAGTCAGACCATCTTACCACAACCTTCCAAGCTCTGGAAAATTCATGAAAAATTAAGATCAGAATTTGTGATGTTGAACTGTTAAATTAGCTTTACACCTTGAATTGTCTATGTTCATTTATACTGGTGCTGCAAAACATGTCAATGGTATTCATATTGCTTTTAATTTGTATTAATTTCCTTCTCATATTCTTCTCACTGATCTGGCTGCTGCAACAGGGCCTCTTAGTTTATACTGGACCCAGCAGAAATTTAAAAAAATAGCTTCTAAAGTGATCATGCAATCTTTTAGTTCTTAACCAGAATACCAATTTATTTCTCCTTCAAATCTGCTTTAAAATTTATAGTGGTGTGAAAAGTGAAAACCCCAATTGCTCATTCATGAGGTACCTAGTTCACAACTAAATGGTACAGTTTTTACACCTATAATCCTTTGCATGTGGATTCGTTTTCAAATATTCACAGTTGAAACAAAATGTGAGCATGATCTAGAAAAGTTAGCATGATCCGGAAATGTTCTGTGAGGAGCCTTGAATATTCTACCAATTCATCCGTTAGTTCCTGATCAATATCTTGTATAATATTGATTCTTTATTGCAGAGCTGGACCAGGAGTCTCTCATGAGCCTTGAGAGAATGGATCGTTCATCCCCTGACCTGTGGCCTGCTACAAGTAAGGATAAGTAGGATCTCTGTCACTGCTACAAGTAAGGATAAGTAGGATCTCTGTCACTGTTACAAGTAAGGATAAGTGGGATCTCTGTCACTGTTACAAGTATGGATAAGTAGGATCTCTGTCACTGTTACAAGTAAGGATAAGTAGGATCTCTGTCACTGCTACAAGTAAGGATAAGTAGGATCTCTGTCACTGCTACAAGTAAGGATAAGTAGGATCTTTGTCACTGCTACAAGTAAGGATAATGATGGTTTAGCTGACAAAATGCTCAAATCCATGGTCATATTTTGCTGAGAGATAAATTAGGCCTCTACACGAGAGTTTTTAAACTTTATTTTTTTCATTTGAAATACACTAAGTATGTATTCCTTCACTCATTTCTGAATGTTTCTTAGTCTAAAAAAATTCTATTATATAATGTTTTCAGCAAGTGGATCAGGAAAATTCACTAAATAAATTCCACTTTGTCACCTTAAATATTTAACAACATATGAACCATGTCCTTATTTTTTCAGTGCATAACTGCCACCTTGCATCATGAGCAACACATTGATTATGTCCTTATTTTTTTCAGTGCTAACTGCCACCTTGCTGCCTTGTATCATGAGCAACACATTGACCATGTCCTTATTTTTTTCAGTGCTAACTGCCACCTTGTTGATTTGTATCATGAGCAACACATTGACCATGTCCTTATTTTTTTCAGTGCTAACTGCCACCTTGTTGATTTGCATCATGAGCAACACATTGACCATGTCCATATATTTTTCAGTGCTAACTGCCACCTTGCTGCCTTGTATCATGAGCACCACATTGACCATGTCCTTATTTTTTTCAGTGCCTGGTATCTATGACGTGGCCAGTCTCGTGTCGTCGCCCCACACTCGTCCCTCTACACCCGGTCTCACTCTCACCGCTCAGGACCAAGCTCTGCTCTACCGTTAGTTCTTGCCTCTTCAGGCAAATGACATTGGAACAACATTTACTTAACGTCCATTCAATCAAACCAAATTAATTTCAACGTTGATATAACAAAAAAATAGGTAGGTACCTATTTAAGCATTGATAGAAGCAAAAAACTTTTATTTCAATGTTGACATAATCTAATGATATTTATTTCAACAATGATACAACAAAAAAAGTTTATTTTAATGTCGAAATAACCAAATAATATTATTTCAATCAAACAACATTCATTTCAACGTTGAGTCAACCAAACAGCACTCATTTCAATGTTGGTAAATATTTATTTCAACGGAGATACCACCAAATGTTTGTTTCAACATTGATTGAATGTCACGCGTCTGGTGGGATGCATGGCATTGTTGGCCCATAGGGCCTTGTGTGACCGTGCATTCATTTGCATGCCGTGGCTCAGTGCTCTAAATTATAGACCATTTTCACGAAATATGAAGAAATTTGTTAGATAGATCACGAAAAATGAAGAAATTTGTTATTCAGAGTGTTTTTGAATGAATCATTTCACAATGTAATATTTTATTTCATAAAGCAATAAGGTGTAGTAGAAAATATTGTACAGAGATTAGGCAACCAATGCTGCCTCAACACAGTTGGATAAATAAAAATTAAATAAATTATAGCAAGGCATATTATCCAGACCATTAATGTCAAGTTCAGACTGATAACTAATGATCTTCTCCTCCAGTGAAACAATAGCAATAATCGCTATGTCAATCATGTTCTTCATTGAGGAACTTTACAAGTCAAGAAACTATTTGCTACTCATTAAATTTTACGTTATCTGAAATGAACTGTATATATAATTGATTTTATATAGCCTAATTACTTTCTGAACGATGTACAGAGTTCAGCTCCCTGAGCCCTGCCGAGCTGATCGAAGAGGTGCGTAAGCTGCAGAACGTCGCCTACCAACTAGGCGTGGAGGAGGCCAAGCAGATGACGCGCGGTAAATACTTACATGTGCTCGCCGCCCCCAAACCCGGCGCCGACGACGGCTGACATGCCGGCGCTGACGACGGCTGACATGCCGGCGCTGACGACGGCTGACATGCCGGCGCTGACGACGGCTGACATGCCGGCGCTAACGACGGCTGGCGTGCCACGCTGACGACGGCTGACATGCCGGCGCTGACGACGGCTAATGGTCCAATGGAGAGGGTGCCTATGCCTGCCACGTGTTGGTAGCGGGACAGCTGAATCATAGTACAGGATGTCGTGCATATGGAGATCTCATAATTCCCCGTGATAGTTTTCATCATTTTTGAGGAAGTTCTTCTCTCCCACCGTCGTCAAGGAAGGCTCCCACAGGACACTAGGTATTTTATTACTCATACTATTGTGCGTATTAGTATCTTACGCTCAGGATTCTTCACTCAACCACATGAAAGGCTTTTAACTAGCCAGTTAAATGTTATTGTTACTTACTTATCAGTCATTTTAAATTAAAAGCATGGTTTACGTCGTTAGTCTCTCGAGCGTTTTTATCCCTACCCATGTTTACTACTGAATTATATCGATGTTCTCCCGTTTGTCGAGATCTTGTTATTAGTGCTTGCGTATTAGCAAATCATTAGCATCGAGTATTCGAGAACCCAAATTCAACTCAAACTCTTCTGAATATTATGAACATTTTTTTTTACTCCTTCACGCGAGATAATAGTCATTGATCCTATCAAAATTTGCGGTTATATTGTAATTGAGTTGCTTAAATTGCATTGATATGTAATCGCAATAGCAAGGTTAGTGACTAGGAACCTCTGATGATAATTCTGTACCATTGCTGAGAGACCCTCGTTAAAGTAGGACCTCTTTTCATGAAGAAAATTACAAAATACAAGTTTTGTATTTAAACCTGGCTTTGAACCTACGTGATATTAGCAATAAATCAAATTTGTACACAACTGTTTTCATTCCAACCCTGGTTTTTAGTTCGCATCAGGCTGATGACTTTGAAACGTGAAATTAATGTTGATTCCATACACGTTAAATATTCAGAGCCACGTGTCGGCCGGGTGAGCAGAAACAAGGTACAATGTTTTTAAGTTCTTTGGAAAAGTCTGAAATGCACTGGTGTTTATCGTAGACCCAAGAAGCTACAAGTTCTTATTCAAACTTAACCTGAATAATCTATGAAATAGACCAGATACGTAGGGAAATGGAAATTTAATAAGAATAAACCATCGTGACTTTACTTCTACGTTAAAGTCTTCCGCATTAGTACTATCGAAGGCCGACCATCAACAGCCATATCAAGCTCCGCGTGCTGCAATTCATACAATCAAATCAATTCAATGGACAATTAACAAACTTATTCTGATAATAATGTCGAAATGGATTTATTCAATCAAAACCCGCAGCTAAATTGCGGAATTATGTTCTGTTCTTCACCTGCACTTGAAAGAATGCGAGTCAGAAAATAAATGAGAGAGCAATTGGAAACTAAGAGTGCACATGACTGTAAAATAATAGCACTAAGTCTCACGGTACATGCGCCTAACTAAACATACCGCCTAACTAAACATACCCTAGCACATGTTACACACAAGGTGTACAGAACTAAACTCGTTCGCGTCATATGTCAATAATATTAATCTTCACACACCATCAACTCGAAGTAAATTAAACAATACCGAGTTGGCGTGGCAGGGAGCCATAAAAAAAGAAACACAAGGCCTCCCGCAACAGACGATAATATCGCCCATAACTCCACCTTGAATGCTTGCGAAGGTGCCATTTGTTTTCATCTTGCTGAAACGTAAAATATTTTAAATGCCGAGTTTGATTAGGCCACAAGGCAATCAACTACTATATTTGGCACACGAGATATAGATTTCATGAAACAAAAACGCCGCAGATATAAATTCATTCAATGACGTAAATATTTGTGGTAGCGATGTTCGATCCTCGTACGGCAGTGCGCAGAACATTTGCAGGGACTATATTATTTGAGATTTGGGCTTAATGATAGCAAGTGACGACAACATCAGCTATCTGCTCTCCGCCTTGTGCTTGGGGGGCTTAAAACTCTTGAATTTTTTGGAAGATTTGCCTTTCTGGAAGTCCTTCCAGCTGTTCACTCTGGATTCACGAGATTCCTGTGAAAGTAAAAATAATAAATCAACTATATGTTTCAATGTTGTTTTCAAATGGTGAGTCCTACGATAGAATAACATGTCAAGAAATGGATATTGTATATTAAAATATTGATGAGCGAGAAAACAAATGCCATAAGCCTCTGTCACTTAATCTAAAAAACTACGTACAATAGGAACTTCGCTCCTGGAAACTACAACCACAGCAGAATACACACTGCACACTAAGGCAGATCACACAACACAAGTCACAAAACCTACCTCCAGAAGCTTATACAGAATCAAAACTAACTAAACTAAACTTTGGGCGAGGGGGGGGGGGGACATCCATCCCCCTTCCAAAAAAATGCAGTGCACAAGTAGTAGTAGTAGTAGTAGGGGAGAGGTTTCTAGCGCTTCAGATCAGTTTAGTCTATTTTGCGCCGAACATGCAATATTTGGTCAGATTCAATCCGTATTCTGCTATTTCATCTCAACCAGTAATATGATGACATGAATATGGTGTTTTGTCGGAGGTGTGGGTTTTTTCTGACCTATGTCGTGGTGCCGTGCTAGATATCTGGCAGCAGGTTACTCTCGATTATATATTGTCGGAGGTTGTCAGTTCTAAAGAACTGACTGCACAAGAGTCCATTCTTCTTCCAGCCGCTCGACACGTAAAACGTAACACCACTCAAATCAATCTCACACTCACACATTGCTTACAGGAATGGCTTAAAAAATTATGGTACCGGTAGCAAGCATGTCACATTCAAAACACAAGTATGGTTTAAGTAGTGCGAGAAGTACTGAAGTCATGATGTGGAACACTGGCTTTCATACATTACATTAGAAACCATATGAAAAATGAGAGAAACCAGAAACGAAACAAAAGCTTGATGCAAGGAAAATATTAACTGAAGCAAAACCAATAAAACGAGCCAAAACATGGACTGACATCAAAGTTTTTCTGCCACTCCTTGTTGTGTTTCTTGGCTTCTTCTTCCTCGATCTCGAGTTCGCGCTGCCTTTTCCTCTCCTCCATGGCGCGCTGGTCGAGCTGACGACGTTTGCGCTCCATGTCAGCAAAAAGCTTCATTGTCTGCACATACACGGAGCGCTTCATCACCTCGGGGTCATCTTCCTCCACGTGTGGGGGCTTCTTTTCCTTCTTCAGCTGACGCCGACGCTCCTCAATCTGTGCAGAATTTACCATGAATCTCATTGTGAAATATAATGGAAGGATACTATTAAAGTAAGCACAGATATACAAGACAATGAATAAGATGTGTGTAATCCACTCACTGTTAGTTTTAAAATAGATAATAGTAATATAGGAAATTTGTTCCATCTTCATTCAAATAGGTTCCAGCAACAGCAACATTTGAAACTGAAATGAGGAAATAAATTCCCACATTGAAGAAAATTAAAAATGAATTTTTTTTTCCAAGAACTGCAAATGCAGACCAGGAAAGGATATCTAAATCACATAAAAGGATTTAAATTTACAAATAAAAAATTATCCAAAAAAGGTGCTTAAGTTAATTCATTCATTTTTTTGCTAAATCATAAAAATGTTCCTACATTATATAAAATAAAATACCCACCCTCAGATTAACAATTTCTTGTGCTTCTTCAACAACATCCAGGCATTTTTGTCGGGCATCTTCGTTTTCCAGCACCTTATATGCCTTGGTCAGCTCTGCAAAATATAAAAGAATTTCAATGTGCAACCATTCCTCCAAGACATGATAACACAGATTATTACCTACCACTCTTGATCACAGCTCTGCACATAAACTTAGGAAGATATAAGAAATAACTGTCATCATTTTTCAATAGAGCAACTAAATATGTCATCGTACAGAATATTAGGTTAGAGCAAAGGTTGATTAAGTAACAAACTCCAGAAAGTAATTTATTACCATTATTACGTTTTATTATGTGAAATGAATGCTAACCGTCAAAAGCTCTCTGAGCTCTTTCACTGTCATCTTGATTCTTGTCAGGATGCACCAAGATGGACAACTGTGGAAACAAAGCTAATTTAGTGTGTGATCACTGGACAGACCTAGGTATCTTGCAGCATAATTTCATGATCATGTGTGAAAACTTTATAAAAAGATTTGCAAAGAGAACAAAAAAGATAAATTTAGCAACATTTTGATAACATCAATCTTTATGACTATGTCACATGAAAAAAAAAACAACTTAGTCAATGGTTCATGTTTGTTTGTTTGGGAATTTATGTTATTTACAATTATCATGTTGAATACTTTTATACCAAGTGAAAAAAAAATATTTGATACAAACCCTTTTATATTTCTTTTTAATTTCTGGCAGCGATTTGGTAGGCTCAATTTGTAGCACTTGAAAAGGGTTGAGGTTGGCGTACGAGGCTCCAGGTCGGAGAAGTCTATCAATTTGTTGCTTGGACGTCAGGCATGAATCTTTCTTCTCAGTTTCTTTCAACTGCACGAGATAAATTATTTTGAAAATGTGAAACCTCAATAAAAATGATAGCATTTAAAAAAAGTAGCTAAGTTGCAAAACAACAAAAGAACATCAAAGCACAGACACAGTCATTTTAATTTATTAAGTGGTCACATTTTGACTTTGTTCAATAGTTGAGTGTGCACAAAACAATTTTTTGTGCACATATCTAGGGTAAATGCGGTATATTCCAACACATTAAGGACATAGCAAGAAATGAATGGCTATAAAAATATCACCGTATGTGCAACTCGAATTCTCATTGCTTTACATCACTCTCAAAACACCACACTACAAGCCAGCAACAATGAAATGTCACAAACTGTTGCCATATTTATTTTAAAGCCTTTAGAATTAAAACCTACAAAATCCCTGAATTACAATGCTGTGTGTGACTAAATTTGGTATATTGTGAGACTTATTCCGGCAGCGCTTCAAACTCTATTAATTTGTAATTCCGGTGCCCTGTCTTGGAATTTCGATGCCCCGTGTGAGCTGTATAGGAATACGACACAGCTCGGAATGAGCTTAATTAAAAAATTGTAATTTTTTAATTAGGCTTTAAATTAAGAGCTATTAAGCTTTTAATTAAGAAAAATCCAAGCTGGGTTGGAATTAGTTTCTATGTGTTTAAAACCATCGCTTAACTTAATCATCTATTAATTTATTTACCACTTGAAATCAGCAAATACAAGTATACTTAAAGGATTCCTTATATATTCACAGACTTATTTAAGAGTCTCAAACCATAATATTCTTTCTACACAAACAGTTCAACACTATTTGGTGGAGCCAGGCATGGAATATATCTTCTTGGCAAGCCGCGACTGAATTTTTCGAGCCGTGGTTTTATGGTTTTGCCAGCCGTGATTCCATTTCACTGAGCCGTGAATTCCATATCTCGGCCATGAAAAGCCATTTACGAGGCACAAATTTATTTACAAAGTAAATGCATGTGTTACCTACTCAAAAGCCCAAATCTCTAATTTTACCCTAAAACAGTCAAATGGCAATGATAAAATTTGTCTTTACTGTAAGTTGAGCACATGTTAATGCAATCTGACCACTTTGACATGACAGCAACTATGCGCAATCTTCAACAAACTGTTCAGTTGATTAGTTTACATTATTATAATTATGTTTTTTCTGCAGGATATTTTGGCGGGAACGGTAAAGCAATGCATATTGCGGAAGTTGAAAATTTTATGAAGTGACATGTTTGCCAAACCGTAATTTTTTAATCAAACAAAAATTTATGACATTCAAGCTGCAAGATTTCATACCTACTGAAATTATATGATATTAGAGCCTCAATATTTCAGACAAAAATATGACTTTTATAGCCCTGGGTGGAGCAAGGTCAACTAGCTATCAACTTTGACACGTTTTTCCATGTTCTCACTGGGTGACGTGCACTCCTGCCAGACAGCCCACGGGCCCAGACCTAGTGTTCTGGCAATAGTATGGCATGGGCGCGCAATAGTATGACGTCACTATTTCAACCATCAAGCCTCAAGGAATGTGTGGAACTAAGACAAAGCTCCACTATGCAGAGGGTGGATGCAGCGTCCCCAATATATGGATTTTTAAGCCCAAAGCGTTGCCGGCCATTTTAAAGATGCGTCGCTGGCCCCGGGTAATTTTTAATGAAAAGCCATTTACGCTGAGTAATGAAAAACTATTCACAAGCCACAAACTTATTTACAAGGTTGCATGCACGTCATGATGGAATTCTAATTTTGAAGGTTCATATATTAATTCGATCCACCAAGACCACTTTTTCTACCCAACATTGTTATTTTAGGCAAAAAATGAACTTCTTAAAGGCTTAAAATACATATGCTAACTTGCTCAGTTTCTATCAAGTACCTAACCACTTGGAAGTTTTATGCCTGCACCTTCCACTCAAGTTGACTCAACAATTAAAATTAGACTTATATAAAGTATTAGTTAGTTGAAAATTTGTCTCTTAAGTTGACCGCAAAGAACTAAACTTCATTAAGTAATCATTAGGCAGAGTTTTCCATCTAATCACTTGTATACTTAGTGCAAGAGAATGAATAATTATGTTGTTACTAATCAAACGAACGAAAACTTTTTCTGTTTCTGATCAAACGAACGAAAACTTCTGATCAAACAAATGAAAACGTTTGATCAAAAACTAAAACTTCTGATCAAACAAACGAAAACTCCTGATCAAACAAACGATAACTTCTAATCAAACGAACGAAAACAAACTTTTGAAGATAATTCAGAAATCGTAACGTCTATTGACTTCTAATACGGATAATTAATTTCAGCATCATATTTCCAAAAATCAAGTATTGCATTTCTTTTAATTGAAAAACATTCTTTTACATCAAAAACATAGAAGAGTCATTTCCGTTCTTATATATAAACAGGATTAATAAAATACCTATCAAATCCATCCATTGTCATTCAATTTGTGATGTATGAACGACAGTTTTACTTTCATTTCTATGTTAATTTTTACCAGTTGAAGCTGTAGAATTAAATTAAATTAAAAAAGTAATTAAAATTAAATTTTACTTAATAAAATTCAATTATTTAATACACTAGATGGTTCATGCTGTGGAATTAAATTCTATTAGAAAAATGTTGAATTATAAATCTGATTATATTTTTTAAATTAAAAATTAATTTTTATTAAATTAAATTGTATTATTAATGCACTATATGGTACATGGTCTAGTTTTTATATAATGAAATAGTTTCCCATCCTAAGCAACGAACGTTTTCTAAAAGACATGAGACGTTCGAAAACTCGTGAAGGGAGACGAAATCATTTAGAATCTGAAGTGAAGTTAATTATGTAGACAATATTGACAAAACAGGCCAAAAACATGAAAAAAATGTATGTCTGGACATGTATCAATGGGTATTTATAATTTGAAACAGCTTTCCATCATTAAAATGTCAGTATGAAATGTGCATCAAGTCAAATTATTGTGAAATCAAACTTAACATGACCAAAAGATATGCCTGTGACGCCGCCATGTCAGATACGATCAGGGAAGCACGCTGTGAACATACGCCATGGAAAAGTCGAAGTTTATCTCATATTTTTGTGTGATATCAAAAACTTTGTTGGTATTGTCCAATCGTGAGAATTTTTACGATTGTCGATGTGTTTTTTTTTTTATAGGCTATTAGAACGTATTCATTGCAAAAATTTGTCCACTACCCTACAGATAAATGACTAGTTAACTTGATTAGGCGTTGGCAACACAGGATTGGATTTCAAACCACGCGCAATTTCGGAAGCGCGGCTGTTTCTAAAGAGCTCCAGTTGATCTATTTTCATTGCAGTGGAAGGTGGTTCAACGCGGTGGTAGCTGACTAGCTGGTAGGGACCGTAGGGTTGGTTTTTCGATACGTTTTCATATATGGACATGAGAATATATTACCTATACAGAATATATAATATATATATTATTAATTATACAGAATCAACTTTTTTCCTTTATATTAAGCTTTGTCAAAGCTTAATATAAAGGAAATAAGTTGGGAAGTGTCAGAATTACCCACGATGTCAGAATATACTGCGTTTACCCTACTTATTAATAATAAATAGATTATTGATTTACCTACTTTACTTATTATAATTGAATATTATTATTAATAATATTTATTTATTATTAATATTATTGTTATTAATTTATTATTATTATTTTATTTACTTATTATTACTTAACTTATTCCAATCATGATATCATCTTAAATTTATGCACACACGCAATGCAAAATGCAAATAGATGGATTTGGGGCGTGGTGACTCTGAGAAAAAAAGAATTTCAGGGTCAGGCCTTTGCAACGGCCATCAGCCACGCATCACATTTTCATTTGTTAGTAAGGAGAAAGGGAGACCAAGACAGGTGGAAGCCACATTAAAGAGAAGAGGCTAGAAAGGTGTGAAAGTTTGTGTTAAGGGTGAGATGAAATTAAGGGGAAGAGAAATTCAAGGGGAAGGTCATTGGTTTATTATTGCTATTTGTAAATTATTGCACTGTATATTTGATAATTATCTTAGCTATGTGGCCTCTTAGGCCCTGAGTGGCTATTTGTGTTAGTTATATTATACTACTATGGTCTGGTTATTTCAATTCTACTATTGCTGCTTCTTTCTTTTTACACCCTCCAGCCTCCATTCTAGCCAGCCTCCTCCTCTCCCTCACCCTCCATGCACTCTCCAAAAATCGCTTTCCACTCTCAATCATAGCAGCAGTCACCCCCGTTGATAGTCCCACAATCATTGCAATCCATTCGTCTCCTGTTCGCTCATACATCATGCCATCACCCTCATTCCTCTCATCCAGTATCACTCTCATCATTTCCAGTCTTTCCCGCTCATATGCATCACACTCCATCATCAAATGTTCCACAGTTTCCCTCTCACCTCTGTCACACATAAAACAAATATCTTCTCTTCTGTCATTCCACCTATATGTCCGTGCATTCACACTCAACGCATTTGCTCTCACACAGAACATCAAGTCTCCACCTCTACTTCCATCATATATATACTCATACCTTGGCATCTCTTTCATCTTGTACAATCTCAGGCTGTCCTTTCTTTCCAAACCTTGTTTCCATACTCTTAAACCATACAATTTCACTCTCTTTTCTATTACTTTCTTCCATTCTTTGACATCCCATTCAATCCCTGTTGCACCTTGTACCGTCATCATCCATTCCTCTCTTGGTCTATTATTCCTCGGGCCAGCCAATGTTTCATGTAACTCGCACTTTCGTACTATTGCATGACACTTACATTCCCACTTGCTCACTCTCAAATTCCACAGGTACATCTTGCGTGCCCAACGTACATCCTCCATTCTTTCCAGTCGTACTTTATATCTCAATGCTGCTTTCATTCTTCTCTCTCTAAATGTACTCCATCCCATATCTCCTCTTAAAGCCTCCACTGCAGTCCATCTAGGGGCTCCAAGAGCCAGTCTAGCTATCCTATTCTGTACAACCTCCAATTTATCCAATTCACCATCATTCCATGCAATAACTTCAATTCCATACATAATCCCAGGAACTGCCACACTTTTCCATACCTCTCTTAGAACATCATATTTACTTGCTCTCACTCTTGCTGCACTGCCAAGTATTCCTAGCCACTGATTTGCTTTACTTAAACTCAACGCTTTAGTTCTCTCACATCCTTTTTGATCAACACTCATTCCCAAGTATCTATACTCATTTGTCATACCAATCACATTTCCTCCCAGCTGCCACACTCTTCCCACATCCTCAGCTGCTCCATTCACAACTAGCACCTGACTCTTCTCTGGGCTAAAGAGCACATTGAAATCCTTGCCATAGTCAGTTATACAGTCAAGCATACTCTGAAATTCAACACCATTTTCACTCATTATTACCGCATCATCCGCATACAATAGCATTTTTAGTCTTCCATCTCCAACACACACTCCCACATCCATTCTTCTCAGTCTAGCAGCCATCTCTTCAGTGTATAGGCTGAAGAGAAGTGGAGACAGGATACACCCTTGCCGAACACTCCTCATGCATTTAACCCAGTCAGTCTCCACATCTCCAAGCCTATATTTCGCTCGAGTATTCACATACATACTTTTGACTATCCTCACATACTTTTCACTCATACCAATTTTTTCCAACATCTGGCACAACAATTTTCTGTCAACTCTATCATATGCTTTTTCTATATCTATGAATAATAGAACGCACTAGATCGCAGTAGAAGGCACTAGATCGTAATAGAACGCACTAGATTGTAATAGAACGCACTAGATCGCATTAGAAGGCCCTAAATTGCCTTAAAACGCATTAGTATGCACTAAAATGTTCAAAACCAGATGAAGACGTACGTCGGGACAAGCCAGATCACCCAGATGCGGATGTACGCCAAGGCAAGCCAGATGCGGACGTACGGTACGTCAGGACAAGCCAGATCACCCAGATGCAAACATACACCAAGGCAAGCCAGATGCGGACGTACGGTACGTCAGGACAAGCCAGATTGCCCAGATGCAGACGTACGTCGAGGTCGAGACAAGCCAGATGCGGACGTACGCCGGGCGTGTGCGCCAATAACGTTATTTTAGCTCTTTGTACGCCGCGTTGTACGCCAGTAGAAGGGCTTGGAGTCTCGTTTACGCCGGATTAATCCGCGGAAAACGGCACCATCCTGGGTATGGAATTCATGAAAATTTCATTTTATTCAAAATATGCAGAATAAAAATATAATTACATTTGTTAGTGAATAAATTATAAACATTTTACTTTTCATGTTTCATATTGAAACAAGGTAGGCAGAGATAAGGCAAACCATCACATGAGCCACAAAATGTAGAAACTTTTTGAGATTTGGTTTTAGCTGCTTTGGAACCTTCGTTTTCAGATATCATTTCATAGCAGCCGTAGCACTTTTTCCTTGTTTTCCTTTTGGGCCCTTCAGCTTCCTGAAGATGATGTCCAGATGTTTCAAAATTTTTCAGGGAAGATTTTCCAGGCTTTATTTTCTCCTCCATAACGAGCCTCCAGGTATAACATTCAGGTTTTCAAGTTCATTTTCAAACACAAACTCATTCAAAAGCTCCCCATTTTTGTTCACAGGCTCTCCTAGTATACCCACATGTCCATTCATGTCCCCCATAACTACTATCATTTCATTGCTATATTGATCAAGCACTTTCTTCATGCAAGCATACTTTTCTCTGTTCTCATGCTCAGACCGTACTCCCTCCACAGTCATAACAAACAATCATCACCATTTGCATCCTTTCATTCATAGTTGTTGCATATTCAGTCTTCATGGCAAATATGTCCTTGCTCATTTCACTCTCACCAACATTTATTTCTTCAATCTCAAAACCTGCTTCACTCCAGACAACAATACCAACTCCATCACCCTTGGTTTGTTGTTTAATTCTTCTTTTGTATGCTAAATCATATTTCCCACTTCTCAGGTGTCCACTACCTCTCAGATGCGTTTCTGTAACAGCCACCACATCCATATGCTGTTCCTCTAGTTCCTTGCACATATCTTCATATTTTCCTAATCCTAGCCCTCTGACATTCATATGAGTGATATGACCCACTCGCATAACATTTATCCAATTAGGCCTAATCATTCACTCCCACATTGTGTCACTCTCTACTGCCCACACAACTTGCCTGCACCCAATGCCTCACCTTTTGTCCAAACACTTCTGCTCCCTCATTATCCAGGTGCACTCCGTCTACTCTGTACATGAGTTCCTTCATGCTGTCAGGGTCAATATAGCTCACTCTTTTCTCACGTTTTCTCATATATTCGACTTTCATTTTCATCAGCCTCTGGAACACCTTCTCATTTACCTCTTTTATGCATTCGCTCATACATTTCATCTTCCCTTGGCTGTCTCAGAATGCCCACCACAGCCACTGCCAGGTTTTTATTATGTGCCTCCCTGGTTGTGCTTATGATCTCTTCAACAGTTTTATCCACTCCAATTTCTCTTAGGCCATTGCCACTACCCTGCAAAACAAGAAGACCACCATTGGTGCTTTCAGATTTTTTCCTGCTTCCCCCCCTTATTTTGACAATATCTGCTCTACTCAAGCACACAATCTCACTCTCAGCCTCATTTACACTTACTTTTCCCCTAAGGGATCCAATTATACTGTCCCCCACCATGACAATGGGAGGCTTAGCTATTCTATTCTGAGATTCTCATTGATTATAGGCTGTCATTCCATCTATGTCAATGTCACAGAATTTAGGGTTGCTGTGCTGTTTTGGCTTTTGACTAGTCTTTATTTTATTAGCATCCTCTGTAGTGCCAACTTCATTGATATTGCCCTCATCTATTTCAGCTTTTAGTTCAGCCTTATTGGCAGTGGAAGGGCCAGGCATGTTTGCTGTCTCAGCCTGATTAGCTTTATTAATGATCTCTTCCAACTCTGAGACTCTTTTCTTAAGCTTGCTGTTTTCATCTCTAAGAGCCAGTATGCACTTTCTACAGGCGATGTATGATTGCCTTATTTTCGAGTTAGACCAGTGGTCAATTCCAAGGGTTTGTGTGGAGTACCAGGTTTTGCACCTGGAGCACTCCACTTGGTCAGCTTTGATCTCGCTATCCTCATTGCTAACCACCTGCTTTTTGGCTGGCATTTGTTTGCCCATTATTGTTGTTGGATTTATACAGCAATATGCCTCCTTATACTGTTATACAGAAACTCATACACACCATTAATATTGGAGGGAAAAATATATTCTGAGTTCTGACTAACCTATTTGTTCTGAATTTTTCTAGGATGTAACAGAAAGAAAAAACAGCAACAGCCAAAACAGAAAGAAACAAAACAAACAATATTGTCAAATGGGGTAAGACAGGATTGCAGCCTTCATGGGGTAAGAAAGGACCGGCCCATGGCATGCATTCTAATTGCACTGAATTTAATTTGACAAAAAATATGTTAGAGCAATCATTGCCTGTCATTTCAGTGCTTGTTTCAACCCTCTTCTGCAAATAATGAATTTCTGGCTAATTTTCAAAGAAAACCTATGTAAAGAAGGGTCACAAAATAGTTAACCCTGTTTGGGAAATAAGTTAGGCATTCCTACCTGCTACCATCACTGCCTGACATGTATTCTAAAATGGGGTAAAAAAGGACCGGACATGGGGTAAGACGGGACCACTAAATGATCCTGTTTTACACCAACAAGTGGTCCGATCTTACCCCACAAATGGTCCTGTCTTACTCCACAAATTTTCCTGTCTTACCCCACAAATGGTCCTCTATCACCCTACAGTTTATCAAAAATAGTTTTTAAATGAATATATTATTGTGTATTATCGTGTAGTACATGGAGTATTTTGGTCAAAATTTTTATCTTATGCTCAAACTTCATTATAACTTGTTAGCTTTTTTAACTAGAGAAATTTAGTGCACTATTTTAAATTGCATCAAAGGGATATATAAAATTGGGATGTCTATTCCCATTAGTGAGCTGCAGAACTGTGTGCAAGATTGGCTGGGGGAAAAATCACTGTGTGAAACATGAAAAATAATTATGATCACAACTCTGTGAGAGGGCATGAGCTATGTTTGAAGAAGTACACCACAAATGCAGTTAGCAAGTAAACAATGACGTCTGACACTTAAGTTATTATCCATTGGTTTTATTACCAATATGATAAATTTTTCAAATAAATACACTAATGGAATATACATGAAGCATTTAGCAGTGCTCTACAATGCACCAAAGCCAACCCACTATTACTATGCTTAACAATGTTTTCTCATGACAAAAACTTTAATGTGACTGATATTAGAGTTGACTTCCCACCACACATAACAGTAACAAGTGGTTGTTTAATCAAATAATGAGTTTCTAGATGGATAATATTGAATATCAGATTTGTACTTTTATTAAAAACCTTGTAACATAAGAATTACCAGTTGGTCCTTTCTTACCCCAGCCTGGTCCCATCTTACCCCAATGGGGTAAGATGGGACCAGCTCACTTTTTTTAATCTGTACAGAAAACTATGTTAGATGCAAAATGTCTGAGTTGTATCTTAGAGGCGTATTGCATAACTACACCTTGTGATAGGTTTAGGGTGTTTTTAGTTATTCATGGTACAGATGCTACAGGCTTGTTAGTGATTTTGGTCCTGTCTTACCACATCTGACTATACACTTTAAATAGGTAAACTATCTTTGGTTAGGGGGCAGGGTGACAACCAAAGGGAAGTATTTACATTACTATTTCCACTTGATTAGTTTCACATGCTTACTTTGTTATTATTGGGAATGGGATAAAGTGCAAACCAATATAGGAGAGTAGGTAAGCCTACATCATAGTGAGAAAAAAGGACAGCAAGAAACTAGTGAAAGAAAAGTTAGTTTTTGCATTGGACAGATGACAATTATACATAAATTAGATTGCATAAATTAATATTCTTTGAGTGCGGATCTTGGATAAATTGCTTTTGTGTAATTGTTTATATTCTGATTTCGTCATAAGGATGTGCCCATGCCCGTTTATTACCTGATCACTGATGTGCATGTGTTTATTGTGATATTTGATAACCCTGAAAATAATCAAATGATCGTTTTTATAAATAAAGCTTAATCACAGATTCTAGCACGATTGAATCAGTTTGTAGTTATGATATAATACTTGAAGTCTATAATATAAATTGTAGTTTCTCATTCACAACGTCAGTCTCAGTCCTGACAGTCCGTCACCAGCTGTGGCAGCAACCAGTGGCACTGTGGCAGTAGCCTCAGCCTCACTAGCCTGAGTAGGCAATATTACACTATAACTACATTGACTACAATCATACAATGCAGATTTTGGCTATTGACAAGATATGTCCAAAAGATGTCTGTTAGGTTGTTAATAGTAAATGTAAGCATTATTACCTCTAATTTGTCATTGTTCTAAATCTCCTATCTCCTCTTAGAGTTTTTAAGCTACAGCAATGAGAGATATAGATACCATTCAATTTGCAAATAAAAGATCTAGAGATTGGTTGTAGCTTTTTTTTCAATTTCGTTATAGTTTTGAAAATATTTTGAAAAAATATTCAGTACTCACTGCAGTGAGTGACAGCTAGAGAGCGCATTTTCTTGTTGACAAAAACTTGAGGTCATGGACGGATGGACAGACAGACAGACAGACAGACATGGCGAGCACAATAGTGCATTTTTTCCATAAATGAGAAAATGCGCTAAAAAGGGGGGGGAGAAATTCGAAAAAGGGGGGGTTGGGAAATCAAAATTTTTTCAAAAAATGCCCACCTCACTCACAAAAATTAGAATTTCAAAAAACAGCAAGGGCCAATCGGAAGATATAGTCCTTATGCATCGAATGATATGCATTGTGATGTAGTAGCTTGAAAATCCTAGGAGGATTTCATTTTTTTCAAAAAATTTACACAAACAAAAAAGTCTTAGATTTATCTTTTACATATGTGTACCAAGATTCAAAGTGATCCGTCTGTCTGTAAATACCGTAATTGAAATACAATTTCCACAAGAAATTAGAAATTCCCATTGGAAATTGTAAAATTTATTTTGGTTGTTTACAGACAGATAACTTTGAAACTTGGTACACACATGTAAAAAATAAATCTAGGATTTTTTTTGATCATGTGAATTTTATGAAAAAAAGAAACAAACGTTAAATTATTGGAAATCCGGTGTTTTTTTAAAGGCGACTTGAAAGTCCGATTTGGCGGTAAAGGGTTAACCAAGAGAGGTTTTGAATTACAAAGAATTCAATTTGATCATTTAAGAAGAATTGTTTATCTATCCATCTTGAATATTTATGCAAGTTTGATAAAAGACCAAAAGATAATTTTTATTAACAATTTGCTTTTGAGAACAATTCATTTTGTGTAATGAACATTTGTACCAAAATCATATGATCATATAATTGCAAACTTATCAGGCTCATTGGTTAGACAATATTACATTTCATCGATACATTCTGGAATGTTTCTTAATGTAAATGTGATGACTTACTACAAGTTCATTTCATTGAGCTATGCAAAAAAAAAAGAAAAATGATAATAACTGGATTTGAACTTGGCATCTGAGATGAAGTATTAAATATGTCGAAGTCAGCTTTTATATATACGATTTGAAGTTTAATCAAACTTCTGATATACCATAAATATTTCAGTTTGTCAAAACTGAAGTGAAAGCCAAATTGCACATTTCTTTACTGTGCAACCATGTTTCATTCTTATATTAATAAAAGGGTTTTTATTTAATTGTATTTATTCTATTAGAAGTTATCTCAATGGAATTGAATTACAGTTGCGTAAGCGTATGGAGAGAGCAGTACAAGAACGGAAGAGAATCAATGCTTCAATGAACTGCAAAGCCCCCAAAGATGGACAGCAGCTCTACCTTAGTATAGCCAAGTGGTAAGCTATTTTAATCTTGAAACTCACAAAGAATAAATTTTTTTTAATTGTGCAATTGTTGCAGAAGCATTGTTGCATTTAGTTCTAATAATAGCATGGCTCTTCCTATGCTCTTCAGCAATTCTTTGATAGATCCTGTCAAAATTACTGCTTCTGATAACAAACTTTTAGATTTTCCAAATACTTGATTTCAGATCTTGAAGCCATGGAAAGAAAGTAACAGTTTTCAGAATTATAGACTATCATAACTCAACTATTTAATGCAAATATGATGTTTTCAGTTTTAATGACACACAGTGGAACGACAATGCGGACATAGTGGTAGAGGAGGGCGTGATTATTAACCCCCCATACACTGCTGCCTGCGTGCACACCATCGACCCCTCCAACCCACAATCCCCTAGATTTGCAGAACTCATCCAGAAAATGGTAAGCTTTTTTCTTCTGATTAGACATGTTTGTTTAAAAATAATGCCAGTTTTATTGAGAACTTCTTTTGAGCTTAATTTCTCAAGCTTTCTAATGTAAGGTACAGTAATAGGGTCAACAAGTTTTGAAATTAATTCTTCTGATTAGTTGACTAAAGAAACGCAGTTCTATTGCTCGTTTTCTTAAGGGTGCAATTTCCTATTCAATCAGAGTAAACATTTGTCATCACGAAATACGAGGGTTCCTGTTCATGTTATGTCAGAATTAAACGATGGATATTCTCATTTGTAATCTATTTTTAGATTATTGGATGCAATTCATATATAGGTAACTGAACATCACTTCTGTTCAGGTCAACAGATACCACCAAGTAAAGGAAAGACAACCTGAGCCCAGTACCGCAGATTTGTCAAAAGCACCACCGCCTATCATTGAATCCGCCAGTGTGAGTGTCTTGACTCTACTGTAGAAATTTCATTTTCTGGCATTCAGTTCTTTGAGTTATAAGTTATAGTTTAATATTTCAGTTATAAGGTGTTTGCACAATTATATTATTATGCATTTATTTGAACTTGAAGCTGAAAACGTACAAAGGTGTGTCTCTAAAAGAGCACAGATTTATATGTAATGCGGCCTGAGCGAAGAAGTGCTTGACTGCTTGAGTCTGTGTTTAATGTGGCCTGTGGTGTTCCTGAAATAGTCTAAAATTTATTGTGTGCTTTAGGTCTAATAGAAAATAGAAGGTCTTCTGATGAATTTGGGTATCGCTCTTCCGTAATAACTGTAAATTCAGTTTATTATTTGATTTTAAATATTGTTTTTTTTCTAATTCTATGCAGCTCTGCGCTGGAGATCTTACTATTTTTGCTAGTAATTTGTACAATTTGTTATTGTCTTTGTATGATTTCATTCCCTATAAACCAGAATTTTTTACGATCTTGAAATAATTGTAATAATGTTATTCTATACTAAATTTATATGCTGTAATCAATATTTTTCGTGCAACGATTTCCATAATAATGAAGTTCGGCTGAATTCTATTTGAGTCTGTGTGGCAATTTTAGTAAGATGTGTAAATGTCCGTCCTGGTTTTAATATATTTTTTGTTTTTACAGGAAGCCTCAGCTCAACGTTAACATATGCTTAGGCATAAAGAAACTCCGTGTGCTTGTTGACGCCCGTCTTTTGTACGCTGTCTGATTCCAACATCTGTGTTCGCATTTAGGGCTGCAGCTTGATTACCTGGGCTCCCTGAGAGCCCTTGGTGCTCAAGCAACGTCCCTTGCCATGAGTATTTTCTTGACACTGCCTCATGCCATGGAGATTTTCTTGACAATATTCCTTGACATGGAGATTTCTTTGACAATATTCCTTGACATGGAGATTGCCTTGACAATATTCCTTGCCATCGAGATTTCTTGTCACTGCAACATGCCAATATTTCCATGGCAAAATATTCCTTGCCAAAAATTTTTTCATGGCGATATCCCTTGTCAAGAATACTTTCATGACAATATCTCTTGTCAAGAATACTTTCATGATAATATCTCTTGTCAAGAATACTTTCATGACAATATCTCTTGCCAAGAATACATTCATGACAATATCTCTTGCCAAGAATACTTCATGGCCGTATTACTTGTCAGGACTATTTTCATCAGGAAGTCCGAATTTATGAAAATTTGTACATTGAAGTCACGAAGAATATTTTCCCAGCGTTTGTCTCTTTCTCTGCTCTGAAATCATGATCATATCTTTTTGCATTGTTTTTGTGATATTTTTTTATCGATATTTAATTGGTTTCTTTTCGTCTTAATTAGGAGGTTATTTCCATGTTAATTTTTTTAATTAGCGATTCCCAAAAACTTCCTAAAAGATTTGTAATTTGCATAGCTTTTCAAACCTCTTTGAGTGTACAGCAAAAATTTTGAAGCAATTGTTCATCAGATTCCTTATTAACCAATCACTTTCATTACCCTTGATTTTTATATATTTTTCTTGGTAGGTCAAATAGCTGTGACTAACACTCTAGTCGCGTGCTCGTCTTTTATGTTGATTGAAAATCACAGTAAAAAAGGTATTAATTGCAAGCCTATGGTTGATGAGCAAGCCATTCCTGCAATGAAATTGGACCAAAACAACACGTTGTCTTCAGTTCCCCTGACGTGTTCCAAGCATAACCATAAATTGACTTATTTTTTTTAATAGTTGTGGTTGCGTTTACCATTTCCTTGTGAATATTCGTAATTTGCTACATGTAATTCATTGCCATGTTTCACTGATTTTTCATAAAGTAACTACACAATTTATGTATGAATATATACAAATGGGCTTGCTTCTTCTTTGTTCCGTAAGGAACGCACTGCAACCCAGTGCGCAACTGTGGAATGCAGTCTTGTAGTACAATGCTCATTTCCCTCAAATTATCTACTATTCGCAGCAGTTTCAGCACGCAATTTATTTCATTGACGAGACTTTGATTCCATGTAGGCAAGCGTAAAACCTAAGCCATGAATTTGATCTTTAGTTGTGGTATTTTCTTTTACTTCGTGCAGTTGTTGGATTGAAACTCGCAGGGCATAAGAATCGTACGTTCTACCTTGTGCAAAATTTGAAACGGTTTAAAGCTATTTTAAATTAAGGATTCTTCATTGGTGGTTGTCATGGTTAATTAGTGTTAATTTCTTGGTTCATGAAAGTTAGTATCGTAGCAAACTTGCAAAATTTACCTCTCACACCCAGGCAATATACCTAGGCCCCTCTTAGTAGCGTGTGGCTACGAATGTAATTTGTTCAGCATTAATGACCTCATTTTGTGATTTGATGGCTATGTAATTTTCCATATGTTTTTGTTCAAGCAACGACATGAAATTCGAGTGGTTTGAATGTACTAAAAAGTGTCAATAATCGGTTTCAGCCTTGATAACGCCGGTAGAACTGCCGCCGATTATAAATACGCAGAACATTCAGAGCTTTTTACGGTCTCGTTCACGCTGATCACTGCTCCAATTTTGCCATTAACCGTCCGGCATTCTCTCCTATTCTGACCAGAACGTTTGCACAAAGCTGTGGGATCGAACCCGCACCTCTCTGCCGCAATCCTGATACTCAGAACCACCTGGCCACCCTGCATAGGTTTGCAGGAACTTGAGCTGCGAGAGTTTTTGCGCTACACGGCCGGCTTTTTCAACAATTTTTGTTACTCTAGACCAATTGATTTTAAGTATGTTAATTTGAAAAGCCCGTTCAAAACTATATTCTACGTGAGGCATTGAACGCCCATTCGACATTCGTTTAACAATGTGTAAACATTATTTTACACCATTCAAATTGAATTTGCAAGTCGGATTTTGCCCCAATTCTCTCGTAGAAGTGTCATTATTTGCCACTGAATATAAAGTATTATTATGAATTTCGTGTGGGGCTCTTCCCAAGTGGACACAATTCACTTACAGGTATACAAATTTGAATATCATTTCTAAGCCGTTACTTCAACGAAACGTGAATAAATTACCGTTTTCAAATAGAGATATTATTAATACGAATTTTCTTCGCTTTCGGTATTCACAAATAATGCAACGGGCGTATAATCAACAAGGATAATTCCAGGCTTGAAAGGCAAGTCCTATGAAGAAAAATTGAATATTATGAAGCTCTTAAGCCCCTGTTATCGACGTCTGCGTGGAGACCTCACTGAAGTATACAACAAGTATACTCATGGCTTATACAAGGTCCCAGAAGGATTACTAGAATTTGAAACGAGAACCAACACCAGGGGCCACAGCTATAAACAAAAAAACTGCGTTGCAACTCGTCTACGCGACAACATTTCTTCTCGCTGCGAATCACTGACATGTGGAACAGCCTCACCGATTACATCGTAGACGCTCCGAGAATAAACGCGTTCAAGAACAGACTAGATAAAGCTATGGAGAAATATATGTTCAGACTTGAAATGCCTAGCGCCATAGCGAACCCGATGGAAGTCTTGTAAATATTTAAAACAGTTTGGAACAAGTTCCGATTGAAGGACCTGTTCTTAGATCTCCTGTAGTGCTGTAGACAAGTCATGAAAAGTACAAAAATCGGCGACAGGTCACATCAGGCCTATTTTTCATCGCCAAGTTCACTTCAGGTGCCTGTACACAGGGATAGTTTGTTCACCCGCCGCTTAAACTGTCCACGCTACTTGCCTCGCGTAGAGGGCGTAGAGGAGGTTCAGCCGCTTCAGAGACATGTGCCGGCATGCGGCCGAGAGGGACAACGATGTGTTGATTTCAGCGCTGGAGAAGTGGCTAGTAGCGCTGATGCAGCCATGGTGAGCGTGTTTGTGCCGCTCTTGTGAAGTATCTTGGGTAAAGTGAATCATGGCTCTTTTGAGCGATAATGGTTCTAAAGGCCCGTTCACACTAGGGGCAACACACGAGAATCAAGTGCCTCAAAGCGCATGCAGAGGCGCTTTGCAGCCTCTGCATGCGCTTCTTGACCGATTGACGAGCTAGCGATTGACAGGGGCCATGCCTCATGCAACACAAGCGCGGCGCTTATAGTAGATAGCTATATTAAAGAATTGATATCACTTGTATGCTTAAATCGCAAATTATGAGTACAAAAATCGAAATGCAAATGATGTAAGTTATTTTTACATGACGTGTTTAGTTTATGAGATTTTAGCAACTCCTGACAATTTGTGCATTACCGTTTAGCAATTTCAAAGGATGATATAATATCGGTACGAACATTGGAACTTTTTATTTAAGAATATACTATATTTTTTATAAACTGTATCTTTTTGAATGTGCTAGTTCTCTAATTATAATGCCTATGCTAAATTCTCGTTTACAACTAGCATAGTGCGAAGAATGACGGACCGCAGCACACCCGAGAACAATGGCCCACAGCTCAAATTCGGCTACATCCATCCTCATTGACGTCTAGGTGGCAACTAAAGTGTTCAAAGTGCACGCTTCCACACTACCGAGTACAAAAGTAGTGTGAACGGTTGTGCGCGGTGAGGCACTGCACTCAGACTGCAGCAAACGACTCAAAGCGCATGTCGTTGCCACTAGTGTAAACGGGCCTTAACGAATAACGATGCACTGGCGGGCGGCAGGCGCGAGGCCGCGAGCGAGAAGATAACGTCACCTTATACTCTCCTTGTGTACAGGCTTGCTTGCCGGATAGTCACCAAGCGACCGACAATTGCCAGATCTACTAGCCATCTGCACTATCCCCGTGTACAAGCACGTTATGCTATGCTATAATGCCTGCTTTAATTCTCCTTTGATCATCATTACTTTACGTGACTATTCTACCACAAGGACAAAAAACTAGCGAAAAAATTTATCACATAAGATAATATGCTAGAGCTAGACTTCAATTGTTCTCAGTTATTTACTTCAATACTCTTGCTTATACCTAGATTGCATAAATTAATATTCTTTGAGTGCGGATCTTGGATAAATTGCTTTGGTGTAATTGTTTACATTCTGATTTCGTCCTTAGATGTGCCCATGCCCGTTTATTGCCCGATCAGCGATCACCGATCTGCACGTGTTTTTTCGTGATAACCCTGAAAATAATCAAATGATCATTTATATAAATAAAGCTTAATCACAGATTCTTGTATACGATTGAATCAGTTTTGTAGTTATAACATAATAATTGAAGTCTATAATATAAATAATAAATTGTAGTCGTCTCACGCACTCTCACCATCGCTTTCATAATTTAAACGAAGAGCAGTGTAGTAGAGGTGTAGCTCTGTGGGTTAGAACCTTTTATGGGGCCCAACACTGTGAAGTTATCAGCAGAGCACCAGTCAGCTAGAGAATCAGGGGTCACACTTAAAAACTGAAGGTGCTGAAGTAGCTGAATTCGCTGAAGTGCGGAACATATGTGGTGAATAATGGATCGATCGAATGAGGCGCTAGTATGGAATATATCTACTTGGCGAGCCGCGACTGAATTTTTCGAGCCGTGGTTTTATGGATTTGCCAGCCGTGATTTCATTTCTATGAGCCGTGATTCTATTTCACCGAGCCGTGAATTCCATATCTCGGCCATGAAAAGCCATTTACGAGGTGCGAATGCGAATTTATTTACAAAGTTTATGCACG